GACCAGGGAGCTGGGCCCATCACCAGGGCCTCCGTGGGGCCGGGCCGGGGAGCTGGGCCCATCACCAGGGACCGCCATGGAGCTGGGCCCATCACCAGGGCCCCCGCGGGGCCGGGCCGGGGAGCTGGGCCCATCACCAGGGCCCCCGCGGGGCCGGGCCGTGGAGCTGGGCCCATCTGAGACGCTCCTTCCCGCTTCCAGAAACTGCTGGGAAAGGTGTGGGAGGCTGTGACTCTGGTGACATGAATGTCCAGTGTCACCACGGCCACCCTTGCTGGATGAAGTGGGCTCGCTGTCCCCTTGCAGCCCCACAGTGAGCCAGATGCTTCCTGGGCCTGTCAGCGGGCCTCCTGAACCTGGGTCCCCGACCCCACAGGGCCCAGCGGGGGAGGCCAGGCCTGAGTGGGAGCTTCTGCCTTGACTGTGCTGGCCGTGCAAACCCAGCCCACACCTGGGAGACTCTGAAATGCCACTCCCCAGGGCCCAGGCCCAGAGACCTCAGATGAGCAGGTCTGGTGGGAGCCCGGGCTGCCTGGGAGGCTGATCTGGGAAGAGGCTGCTCCCGACCCCATCTCTGCCAGCTCGACCCTGGGCCCCTGGGCCAGGTATGTACACAATTTGTCTTGTGAATGAACTATGCTGCCGAGTGTCCCCTGAGACTCCTAGGGACACCTTGCCCCAGGAGGTAATGTCCACCCATGAGGCCCAAAGAATCCTCAGTGGGTGGGTGAGCCTGGGGTGCCCTTCGGAGTCCTGGGTCTCCAAGGCTGTGGTTGACCAGCCCGCCTCCAGGAAAGACAGGCCTGCACAATACCCAGCTTTGCTGGGATCCTGGGGCATGATCTCCACCCCACCCAGCCCGACTGGACCAAGCTGACCCCTGGCCCAAGCTGCACGTGGAGGTGCACACTGTGGCTCTGAGATTGTCCTCCAGGGGGCAGTGTCCACCTGGAGTCCCCACCAGCCTTTGCCACCTCCCTTCTCATCCACAGGCCGGAAATCTCCCAGTGTCTGGCCCTGGGAGGTTGGCTAGAAGCCTCGGCAGCCACCAGGGTGAGGGGGTGGGGTCCTCCCTCCCTGGTCCCGGAGCCCGGAGCCGAGGGGCTGGCTTCCCGGGTGGGCTGGGCCTGGGGACTCCCAGGTGGTGGCCTTTCTCCCCACTCTGAGTTTCCCCAGGAGGGTGATGTGGTGTTTGATCGTGGCTCTGCAGACAAGGGCCTTCCGGCTGCTACTCCTGTGGCTGGGGTCTGCTGAGACCCCTGGCGCAGCCTGAGGGTGTGGGAGGAGCCCTGAGGCTGTCCTGACACCAGGCTGGGCGACAGTGGACACTGATAGCAGGACTCAGTATGGCTGGCAGCGTGGGCCAGTGGGGCCGGCTAGAACAGGGCTCAGAAGACCTGGGTTCCAATCCAGTCTCTGCTGGACTCCACCCACGTGGCCCGTTTCTTCCTGGGCCAGACCTCTGTGACCTTGGTTTCCCCATCTGCCAACAGGGATGTTGTTGTTGTTGTTGTTGTTGTTTGCCGTCGAGTCGGCCCGACTCATAGCGACCCCTCCTTGGGTTTCCGAGGCAGTATCACTACGGAAGTAGGATTGCCCAACCTTCCTGGAAGTAGGATTGCCCAACCTTCCTGGAAGTAGGATTGCCCAACCTTCCTGGAAGTAGGATTGCCCAACCTTCCTTCCGAGGGAGGAAGCAGTCAAGTGCCTTAGGCACTATGCTACCAGAGCTCCTTCAACAGCGATAGGAAGGGCTGTATCTGCCTCCTGGCAGGAAGTGAGAAGTTGGGGTGGGATCCCAGAACGCCATGGACACCCCGGGTGGATGAGTTAGTCCCTTTCTGGCCTAGTGACCCTGAGGTGTGGGGTCCTCACGCCAGGGGCCTGGGGGGGCCTCGGGAGGGTGGACGCAGGGCCCAGCTGGGAGTCACATTGCTGTTAGTGGCAGAAACAGGGCTGTGCTCAGGAGCCCATGGGCAGGGCGGCCTCCAGGGGCCAAACACACCCTGCCCCAGAGCCCAGGCTGTGGCAGACGGGCGTCCTGTGCGTGCGTGGGGGGCGCCCCTCTGTGTGGGCAGCCAGGGGACCACGGCTCACAAAGGCCCCCCCCCCGGCATGTCTTCCCCCAGCCCTGGCTCCCAGCTCACCACCCCACGGGGGACTCTCTCTCCCCCTGGTCTCTGTTTCTCTCCCTCTCTCTCCCTCCATCTATGCCCTGCTCCCCTCCCTCATTCTCTCCCTCTCCTTGTCTCTCTCCTTCTCTCTCTTATTCTCTGTCTCTCTCAGTCTTACCCTCTCACTCTCTGTCTCTCTCCTCATCTCTCTGAATCTCTCTGTGTCTCTCCTTGTCTCTCTCTCTGTGTTGGTCTCTCGTTCTCTCTCTGTCTTATCCTCTGTCTCTCTCAGTCTTACCCACCCACTCTCTCATTCTCTGTCTCTCTCCTCATCTCTGTCTCTCCTTGTCTCTCTCTCCTTGTCTTCTCTTTTTCTCCCCCCTCTTATTCTGTCTCTCATTCTCTGTCCTTGTCCCGCTCTCTCTCATTCTCTGTCTCTCCCTCACCCTCTCCTCATCTCTCTCTGTCTCTCCTTGTCTCTCTCCTTGTCATCTCTCGTTCTCCCCCCCTTACTCTGTCTCTCATTCTCTGTCTCTCCCTCACCCTCTCCTCATCTCTCTCTGTCTCTCCTTGTCTCTCTCCTTGTCATCTCTCGTTCTCCCCCCCCTTACTCTGTCTCTCATTCTCTGTCTCTCCCTCACCCTCTCCCTATTTTATTCTCCCTCTGTGTCTCTCTCTCCTTTCTCCATCTCTCTCCCTCTGCCTTCCTCCCTGTTTCTCTCTGTTACCTCTCTTCACTTAATGCTGTTCCAGCTCCCTGGACCCCTTCTAATTGTGCGTCTGGGGACGGACCTGGTGAAAGGAGAGAACTCAGGGCCTCCAGTCAGTGGCCTTCTGCTTCTCTGGCCTCATCATCCCTTGAAGGTGGCAGTGCTCAGGGCTAGATCAAGGCATGTGAGGCCCAAGGCACTAATCATCTGTGGGTCCCTCCTCTGTTTACTCACACATTTGAATGGGATATGTGAGTCACATGTGTGTGTGCACATGCGTGTGTGTATGCACATGCGCGCACATGGGTATGAGTGCACATGTGTGTGTGCACACATCTGTGTACTTGAGTGTGTGTCCTGTGTGTCTGTGCATGTGTGCATGTGCGTGTGCGTGTGTGCATGTGTATGCATGCATGTGTGTGTCATAGCAATCCATGAAGGCACTTCTTAAATGTGACTATAATATTAACAACTGAACACAAATGTGGCATATACCGTTTTAGCAGAACGAGATGAAATTTTTAGGGGACGCAAGGTCCTAAGATTTTTACAATATACCACGTTTTCTACAAAGAGAACATCCCACATATTCCACGACAGAGACAAGAGTCAGTGGTCTTCATTGTGTCAACAATCAGTGTAAAATCCTGTGGATCCACAGTGAAAAATCAACTCTCACAGTTTCGCTTTAACCGGCTCGGCCTTCAGTGCGGATGCCCGTTTCGTAACAAATGCTGTGATGATAAATGAGCAAAGGAAAAGATGTCAGAAAGGAAATTCAATGATCAGAAAACAAACATTACAACAAATTACTGTATTTTATTTTTAGATAGGTCTCTCCTCTCTCACATGTTTAATTAAAATTATTTCTTCCTATTCTTTGCTCTTACACATTCTTCAATAATTTCACCACAGTTAACCCTCTGAACAATATCTACTTCCATACGTAATAAGGATAATTTGTTGAGTCTTGAATCATTGTTTTATGCTGAGGGTTTTATGAGTCTCTGTAGGGATAAAAATGTGACATTTGTGATCACTACAGTCAGGAGCATGCATAAAACAATTTCCATATTGGGATACGCACTGTATTTTATCTTCTGTTACGGAGTTGTACATGGTGCATGAGTAAATTGTCTTTCCTGAGTCTGTAACCTTAGTTCTCATGTAAGAGTGAAGTTGTGACACTTCTTCATCAAGGTTTGTATTTGAGTCATGGAGATAAGCCTCCACTAATGTCTCAGGGGCCTCCATGCATCCTTCATCAGGCATATCCACATTGTTTAAGAAGGAAAATCTATGTGAAAGGACTTCATACACTTTCACCCTTCTTTTCATGCAAGATTCAAGGGTGTCAGTGATGGTGTCGTGTGGCTACAGGACACGGATCTCTGGCACATTTCAATGATGCTTGAAGCTCTTCCATCACTTCTTGGTTTCTTTCTAATGCTCCTGCAACAGTGAGTTGCTTGGTAATTAGTATTTGTCAGTATTTGTTTTGTTGTGCTTTCAAAACTTCCAAAATCTTCTCTTAAATTATGTAAAGAGCCTGTTAATGACTGGTAAAGATGCACGGTGCACGTCTTCAAGTTTACTTCTGAATCTTGGTGAGCTTGACACGTCTGGTGAAAATGCTGCAGTATATTATTCCACACAACCCGCGTAAAGACATACTCTAGTGTTTGCATTTTGTGGGCGATGTTCCCCGCTTCTCTTTTGCTATTTCCTTTTTGCGCCTGGTCTTCAGCAATACTTTCTAATCTAAGTGTCTGATTCCAGCTTTGCATTTGTTGTTTCAGCCCGTGCTTCCCAACGTGCATTAGAAATACAGTTTAATATTTGATCATTGCCTAGATGTGTTTTAAGAACTGCCCATCAGTGAGTAGAGGCAGTAAGAAATGTGTGGAGTAACTGGACAGTAGGAAAAAGTCTATTGCTTCTGAACAAGTCTGGTGCATTACATCACACAAGATTGAGTGACTTCACAGCTCATGGTGTGACAATGGCATAGTCATTATGTTCTAAGATTCTCTGCTCAGGCCTTTGTAACACCCCAGCACATGGGCAGCATTGTCCTAGGACTGGCCTCTGCACTCAGAAAAATGAGTTTTGCAAACTTCACATAAACAGTGAAGTATTTGATTTGCAGTTTGTTCACCAGTGTGACTTTTTAAGCTAGTAAGGTGTTCCATCTGTTGAGATGTGTCTCCTGAAACAATACTTAGCTGGTCTGTATGAGGAAGATCAGGAACAGACTCTGCGATAAGCTGAACTATCAAGCTATACTTATCTCACTGGAAATAGTTGATTAGATAGTTGATTGAACCTTATCACTTTTCAAGTTTATTAATT